CAATTTACGGCCCCATGACAAAACTCCGCACGCGGTTCCGCGACAATTAGACAATAATTAGACAAAGAAGACACAACTCAATGGCAGGCCTTTCGATATGATAGTCAGTTATTGGGTACCATTGAGCTCGCCAGATGTCATTCAACCGCACATATTTTCTGATGCGTCAGAAGTCGCTTAAGGAACCGCAGCGTATCTTCGTACAATCACATCCACCGCTGCAATAGTGAGTCCGTTGCCAACATTTCGGATACAAATTACAAGACCGTTCAACATTAGTGAGGTGTATTATTGTGAAACATTCTTTGTGCATTACAAAATCCGAGGAAAAAACCCCACAAGGGGGTTTTTTGCGAGGAGTCCAATAATTACGGTACTGGGACATCCAGCTATAAGGTAAACGATGGAGAAGTAAGGAGTACGGAAGTCAATGCAACCATAAGCCAAATGAAATGGTGGTACAAAAATTGAATTTACCAATGTTTTTTTAAATCTGTTTTGTTGTCCATTAAAGTCCAAAAATGGTACAGAAATGCAAGCAGACCATCAATGCTTATTCTTCACAACTTCAAATAGAAATCTAAGTTGTTTACATAAGAAATTTTACCACAAAAATAATATATAAACCCGGAACAACAAATGTTTTCAAACAATGGTACAGCTGGGAATTTAGAAATTATATTAAGAGAATATCTTCCACCTAACATAACAGTCGGAATTCATTGTAACTTGGAAGATTTAAACCATATTCACGTATCTTCATCAATATAATTTTACCAACAAATTCCATTTTATGAGAACATTTCTTCAAAATATAAGAGGAAACACAATCGTGCTCATAGGGGACTTGACGAAAATTTTAAACAATACAATCATGGGTGTCACAGAAACCAGCGACGGATTAGGGGACGGTTGGTTTGGAAACCAACCCACCAAATCCGTAGGTGTCAGAAAAATTACCGAAAAATGACAGGGCTGCATCCATACAATAAATATAGAATATTGAATAAATATCGAATTTTATTTGACTTATTTGGATCATTTCCCAATAAGTTTTAAATTTAATTTATGTTTTTTTTGCGAAATGACAAAAACAATTCTTGTTTAAAACGCATATTTTACAAAATAAAAGAAATAAAAATTTGAATAACCCGCCAGACTACATACTGCAGCCCTAAACAGCTGATTGCGGCTGCTGAATTGGTTTATTTACATTTGTAAATTGTCAAGAATTTTAAAAGCAAACCAATATGCCATCTGCACGAAATCTTGCTCTAGAGTACTTGCGAAGACAAAAACCCTTCGACTTAATAACAAACAAAAAAGGCAGATAAGACTACTACCACCTACGCTTGGAAATAACATTTTTTATTAGTTCTGAATTTAAAATTTAATTTTATTAAAATCGGACGACTATATCATATAGCTGCCATAGGAACGATCGAGAAATTGGTGGGAAAATAACAGAAACAAATTATAGCCTGGGTTTTTTTTGACATATAATCTTCTACGCTTGAAAACCCCATTTTTTAGTTAGTTCTGAATTTCGTATTTAATTTTATCAAGATCGGACGACTATATCATATAGCTGCCACAGGAACGATCGGAAAATGGGTGGGAAAATAATATGAAATAAATTATAGCTTCGGTGTTTTTTGACATATTATCTTATACTATTGGGAGTATCATTTTTTGTATTTTTAAATTAAATAATTATATCTGCAAAGGTATACAAACTTCGGCTTGCCGAAGTTAACTTCCATTCTTGATTTTAGCTAATTTTTTCAAGACGTCTTATAAAATGCTTATTATACCCTTGCAGAGGGTATTATGATTTCAGTCAGAAGTTTGTAACGCAGTGAAGCTGGATTTTGACAAACAAATTTAAACTTTGGATAGGATTTTTGAAAAAAAGTTTTGCATTATTTTGAAGTGCGTCCAAGTATATGTTGTATCGTTGTCAATTCTGAATTCATCGCTGTTAGTCTTATTCTGCTCTTTTCCGCACTATTGGTGGAAATGTAATTTTTCTTAGGTAACCTCACATTTCCAACACCGATCTGTTTTCTCTAAGGAATAGCGAGAAGGGCTGGCGTGATCGAGAGAACGCCATTCAAACAAAAATGTGGACAATGCAATTTTAAAAGAAGAAAGCCAGCTGTTCTGCAACAGTTTGCAGTACAAAGGGCAAAGTTTTAATTGAAATTACAAGTACTTTAAAGGTAAGCACACGAAACGGATAAACGGACCCCCAATTAATAAAATTCATTTGCGTCGAAAGGGCGTAAAGACCGCAAGCAGCTGACCTAGCGAACTCACAGAGTAATGAAGTCCTCCTACTAGTCCAAGCAGCAAGCGCAGTTGCCGGGGAGGAAGGACTACATGATCTCGCTGCAGTTCTTAGAATACTTGCAAGTACCCCGGAGAAAGCCAAGCAAGTCAGAGAAGGCTTAACAAGGCCCAGTCAGCCACCCATACGTGCGCCCAAAAAAGCATTGCCATATATATTGGATCAAGGGTTGACCAAGGAGCAGAATAGTGTTTTGCGGAATGACGTTCGAAAAAGAAAAGTGGATATCTACCTTCTAAACAAAGATGTCTTATCTGCTGTATGGATTCGATAGGAGTACTGGACAGGGGAATTATAACCAGTCTAACGCTATAAAAGATAGTCTGATGCAGACTCATGTCCTTTTGCCGCTACTGTAAAGCCACTTCGACTGATTGACTCATCCGGAAATTTTTTGTTGAATAATCGCCCCCACAGTCTATATGATTCTGTCGCCCACTAAAGTTGGAGTTTCTTAAAGAAACAAAAGAAGTGATATTAAAAAAAAAGAATTAAATATAGAAAATGAAAAGCTACTGTAATGCAAGATACAACTTAATGAAAGTGAATGTGTGTATGTCAAATTCAGCCCATACCTTACTGCCGTTCATGGTAAAGTACTATATGCTTTGACAGATACGAAGTCATTTCAATAATAACAATCAAAACGATTTCCTAGGAAATAACAATTTTAAGAGCTTTAAGTTTTTGCAAATCATTCCTAATTTAAAATACGGCGTGAGTCCTTGCGTTGCTGGCTACGATTTTTTGAGTTTGTCTTACATGCTGAATATAAGATGGGCATCAAAAAATGGCAAATATCTAGTCCATACGAAAAGAAAGCGACGTAAGGCACATACATAGCAAATCTTTTGGGATAAGCTCTCTTGGAAATACAAATACAGGTAACACCTAAGACTTTATTGGAATTTACCGGGTTCGATCAATAATAATTTCAATAAGTTTGTCTTGTGAGTTGCCAATCAATTTAGACAAATTTGAAATGAATTGTCATCAAACTGGTGCCGGTGTCATCGGCAACCACCAAATTTTTATCCACAACCATTTCACCAGTTTGGTGACAATGCATTTCAACATTCATCACACCAACAGTCCACAAAATAATCGTGCACTCTAGGCAGATCATAGAAAATACGTTACTTCTAGTCGGATGATTTGGCTAAGAAGCATCACAGTTTATAAATATGACAGACTTCACCACTCCAGAAAACACAGCAAACTTCATTCTATGGCTGATATGTTCAACCTTGCTATGGATACATCAGATACAATAATTTTGTGCCTAAACTCGAGGCCCATAAAAAACACAAAAGCCTTTCATATCACAGGTAAACCAGTTATTATCATGTGAGTAAAAAAATGTTAATGATGAAGAAAATTAACTGAAGACTTAGGTTTTTTTTTGAAAACATTGAAGTAGAAAACGAAAATGTCGAATAATAATAATAATAATAATTGTTTCCTATCACCATAAAATTGCTCACATTATTCTATTTTTCTTAATTTTGGTGGCAGAAGGGGGTGAAAAGGTTCGTCGATTCCAAATTCTAATAACAAAATTGGTGTCCAAATTTGATAAAACTAGCTTTAAAATTGCCCGTTATATTATATTTTTGTATCGATTTTCCTTAGGTCTATAGTAGCATAATACAAACAAGGAAGAACGCTATAGTCGAGTACCTTAGGTCTACAGTAGCATAATACAAACAAGGAAGAACGCTATAGTCGTGTACCTCGACTATCAGATACCCGTTACTCAGCTAAAGGGACCAAAGAAAGATGGAGATATGCAAGCAGCAAAGCGAGATTGTAATGCGCCACCTACCAGCGGTCTCAATATACTGTTATGTGGGCGGTAGAAATATTTAAGAGGCCACTGTTTTGGGCGGTTTGCGCTGCGCAGGTATCTCAGGAATCTGCATGCCTAATCCCATATTGTAGCTTTTATAGTTTCGGAGATCACAGCGTTCATAAGGACAGACGGACATGGCTAGATCGACTCGGCTAGTGATCCTGATCAAGAATATATGTACTTTTTGCGGTTCGAAACGCTACCTTCTGCCTGTTACATACTTTTCGACGAATCTAGGATACCCTTTGTATAAGTAAGTAAGTTTGCCACGCCCACTGTAACGCCCACAAACCGCCCAAACCTGAGACGCCCACAGTTTTCAAGCTAGATAAAAAATTTTAACTGAAATGTATTGGTCTCGTGAATACCTATCGATTGATCCAAAAAAAAATTAACGCTGTAATCTGTCTACCCCCGGTAGGTGGCGTATTTTAATCTCGCTTTGCTGCTTGCATATCTCCATTTCCCTTTGGTCCCTTTAGCTGTGTAACGGTTATCTGATAATCGAGGTACTCGACTATAGCGTTCTTCCGTGTTTTTACTCTACGAGTAACGGGTATAAAAACCGCAGTGATAAATCTCTTTTGGTTTACTCGCAATATTAAATGCCAGATAAAGTGACCATTTACCCCATAGTGCACTGTATGTACTTCGTGTGCTTCGTGTAAATTTATAAGGGTAAAGTTATGGCTCTACCTGTAAAGCTTTTTGACAAATAGTTTACAACTATTTTATCCGATGAATTTTCCAATTTTTTGTTGAAAATTAATGCATATAAAACATGGTTCAGTTACTCACCCTTGCCAAATCCATGGATGTCGGTACGGAAATTGTCCTTGCCCTTCTGTCCGTCCACCAATTGACCAAGGCCATCCACATAGCGGTCGCCCTGCTCATTGCCATCGTAGGTTTTATCCGATAGATCCAGCTCCATGCCGCGTTGCACGCCTTTTGGAATGCTGTAAGACACGATGCCCTCTGAAACAGTTGATAGAAATACCGATGAAGTAAAAATTTGAGTGTGGAAATTATGGGAATTAAGACAACAACTTGAAAACTACAACAAGGAAGAGCGTTTTAGTCGAGAGCCTCGACCATCAGATACCCGTTACTCAGCTAAAGGGACCAAGGGGAGATGGAGACATGCAAGCAGCAGAGCGAGATGGCTAGCGCTAGCTTCCTGCGATCTCAATATGTGGTTATTTTGGCGGCAGACAAATTTAAGTGTTATGGGCGTTATGTGGGCGTGGAAACCTTTTTTTGGGTCAATCGATAGGTATTGGCGAGACAGATACAGTTCAGTTAAAATTTATTTTTAGCACGAATACTATTGGTGCCTCAATTTAGAGTGGCTTGTGAGCGTAAAAGTGGGCGTGGCCAACTTTTATTGCGTCAATCGATTGGCATTGAAGAGACTAATAGATTTCAGTTTAAAAGTTTTTTTCTAGCATGAAACTTGTGGGCGCCACAAGCTTGGGCTGTTTGTGGGTGCTAGATCGGACGTGGCATATTCGCGTGGCAATTCGCTGCGTACGGAATTTAAAACTGAAATCCCAATTTTCTATCTTTGGTAGTTGCCGAAATATTCGCGTTTATATCTACGGCTGAGGGTGGTTTGTAGGCGTTAAAGTGGGCGTGGCAAACTTTTTTTTGCGACAATCGATAGGTATTGATAAGAACAATTTAAATTCTAGGATAAAAACTGAAGGGGACACAGTTTTGGGCGGCTTGTGGGCGTTAGAGTGTGCGTGGCACACTGACAAAACAAACTTGCTCTGCGCAGGAATCTCTAGAATCTGCATGCATTAGGCAGTATACAGACATGCGAACAGACTGACAGACCGACATGGCTAGATCGACTCGGCTAGTGATCCTGATCAAGAATACATACACTGGTGGAAAAAATAATAGAAACGGTTTACTCACTTTCGTATTTTTTTTTGTATTTCATAAAAAAGAAAGTAGATATATCTCATATGTTTTTTTTTAACATATACTTAAGTTTGTTTTTTAAAAGGGAACAAAAAGATTTTTATAATTCACGCGTGGACTTAAAGAATTAATTTTGAGTTTTTACCCTGGAAAAAATAATAGAAAAAAAACGTTGAAACTTCATAAACATAACATATATTTTTCCATCTGATCCACACATATTAATTTTAGTTTCATCGGACCAGAGAACATTATTCCAGTTTTGGCGGTTCTGGTGTTGTTTTGCAAAAAGCAGTATATTTTTCATATTTTTTTGGCTCAGAGATGGAACCTTCCTGGCTGAATATGCTCTCATATCTCGTTCAATCAGCCGGTTTCTAATTGTTCGAGCTGTAACTGCTGCCCCTAAGGTGTTTCTGAGTTCCTTGGCTGTAAGGAATGGGTCCTTTTTTATTGTTCGATTTTTTGAGTTTGTCTTACATGCTGAATATAAGATGGGCATAAAAAAATGGCAAATATCTAGTCCATACGAAAAGAAAGCGACATAAGGCACATACATAGCAAATCTTTTGGGATAAGCTCTCTTGGAAATACAAATACAGGTAACACCTGAGACTTTATTGGAATTTACCGGGTTCGATCAACAAGTTAACTACAATTTAAGGATAATTTCAATAAGTTTGTCTTGTCAGTTGCCAATCAATTTAGACAAATTTGAAATGAATTGTCATCAAACTGGTTCCGGTGTCATCGGCAACCACCAATTTTTATCCACAACCAATTCACCAGTTTGGTGACAATGCATTTCAACATTCATCACACCAACAGTCCACAAAATAATCGTGCACTCTAGGCAGATCATAGAAAATACGTTACTTCCAGTCGGATGATTTGGCTAAGAAGCATCACAGTTTATAAATATGACAGACTTCACCACTCCAGAAAACACAGCAAACTTCATTCTATGGCTGATATGTTCAACCGTGCTATGGATACATCAGATACAATAATTTCGTGCCTAAACTTGTCGAGGCCCATAAAAAACACAAAAGCCTTTCATGTCACAGGTAAACCAGTTATTATCATGTCAGTACAAAAATGTTAATGATGAAAAAAATTAACTGAAGACTTTGGTTTTTTTTGAAAACTGAAGTAGAAATCGAAAATGTCAAATAATAATAATAATAACAATTGTTTCCTATCACCATAAAATTGCTCACATTATTCTATTTTTCTTAATTTTGGGGGCAGAAGGGGGTGAAAAGGTTCGTCGATTCCAAATTCTAATAACAAAATTGGTGCCCAAATTTGATAACACTAGCTTTAAAATTGCCCGTTATAATAAATTTTTGTATCGATTTTCCTTAGGTCTATAGTAGCATAATACAAACAAGGAAGAACGCTATAGTCGAGTACCTTAGGTCTATAGTAGCATAATACAAACAAGGAAGAACGCTATAGTCGTGTACCTCGACTATCAGATACCCGTTACTCAGCTAAAGGGACCAAAGAAAGATGGAGATATGCAAGCAGCAAAGCGAGATTGTCATGCGCCAGCTACTGGCGATCTCAATATACTGATATGTGGGCGGTAGAAATATTTAAGAGGCCACTGTTTTGGGCGGTTTGCGCTGCGCAGGTATCTCAGGAATCTGCATGCCTAATCCCAGTATTGTAGCTTTTATAGTTTCGGAGATCACAGCGTTCATAAGGACAGACGGACATGGCTAGATCGACTCGGCTAGTGATCCTGATCAAGAATATATGTACTTTTTGCGGTTCGAAACGCTACCTTCTGCCTGTTACATACTTTTCGACGAATCTAGGATACCCTTTGTATAAGTAAGTAAGTTTGCCACGCCCACTGTAACGCCCACAAACCGCCCAAACCTGAGACGCCCACAGTTTTCTTGCTAGATAAAAAATTTTAATTGAAATGTATTGGTCTCGTCAATACCTATCGATTGATCCAAAAAAAAATTAACGCTGTAATCTGTCTACCTCCGGTTGTTTTGCAAAAAGCAGTCTATTTTTCATATTTTTTTGGCTCAGAGATGGAACCTTCCTGGCTGAATAAGCTCTCAGATCTCGTTCAATCAGCCGGTTTCTAATTGTTCGAGCTGTAACTGCTGCCCCTAAGGTATTATTATTGGTCGAGCCAAAATGTCGTCAAACCTTTTGGTTGTGGCTCGCTTTTTACCTCGGTTCTCCTTTTTATCCATGTAATGAACCGCGGAGAACACTTTTTTCTTTGAGCAATTCATTAATTCAGCTATTTTAGACATTGATTTGCCTTCATCACTCAGTTTTTTTATTAAATGCCTTTCCGGAGCCGTGCAATGCACTCCTCGACTAATTCTGAGCCTAGAAGTCGTAATTATGAACGAATTTTCACCATGTTCGAAACTTTTTGTTAGACTTACCTTAAAGTATTTAAACTAAACCAATAAGTTCTAAATATAAAAAGTCTAAGCCGAAATTTCGGTTGAAATAAGTAGTGTTTCTATTTTTTTTTCCAGGCACGTAACAACGGCGAATGGGGCTCAAGGTGTAACACAAAATAAAGAACAGTTATCAGTGCTCCACATGTTATTAGTTTGAAGCCCACAACTTTCGTACTTACTTAGCTATTTAATAAGAAGTGAAGAAGTGAAAATCGTTTCTATTATTTTTTCCAACAGTGTATATATACTTGATTGGGTCGGAAATGCTTCCTTCAACCTGTTGCTTTTAGACAAATGTGATATTTAGAAAAATGAAAATGTTTAGAAATATGCATTTGAGCCATATTTTTCTCTTTCAAAATCACATATACGGCATCTAGACGAATATAAAGTATGTCGAAAAACATAAAATGTCATTGGGCACTCTCTAAAACAAATTTTTTTCAACATTTTCTTTCTGTTATGCATTAAGTACACCAAAAATAAATATTTATTGGGGTCAGAGTTTGACCTTAAAAATTTCATCCACAAAAAGTCCGCCCTAATATCCATTCTAAATGCCTCTTTTTCCTAAGGAAACACTTCTCGAAAGAATACTTTCAAAATCAACCAATATGTCTAGAAATACCTAAAAAAAAATGTTTAATTAATTTAAATAGTCAATCAAGAACACATGCCCAAAGCTTTTCTTTAGTATTGACCATAGCTTGCAAATAACTGTTGACCGTTTTTCTTCTTGCGCTCTCGTTGCGAGCACAACCGAAAAAGTTCATACTGTATCGCTCTCGCTCTGAGCAAGAAACTCTTGCTGTCTTCATTTATGTTTTCTGTTGAGCAATTTTATGAGCAGTGCGTAAAGAGCGGAAAGAGAAACGCTCGCACAATGAGAGTCAACAAAAGACCGATTGACCGAAAAACTCAACGCAAACGGACTTTACATTTATTTTCGTTGTTCTGAAAAAGAAATAACATAATTTGTTTAATACAACATTTTAAATTTATTTTCAAATTTTTTGGTTAACAAGTTCCATTTTGATCGCATACTCCATATATCAAAATGCTATCAAAAAGCGAGCTCTGATACCAATAAATACGCAAAAGACCTTTTGCTTCACTGAACACGACAAAACGGGTTTGAAACAACCAGAACAAAACAGAATAGAAGAAAACGGTTTCGCTCTGAGCGGGAGCGAGCTCATTTAAGAACCCATAAATCGGTTGCTCACTGAGTCCTTTCGTAAAGAGTCAGGAAAAGACACGTATTTGCAGACAACCGGAAATGGTTGACAGTTATTTGCGAGCTCTGGTATTGACCCATCCTGTAAAACTTCTGGAAGGTTATGTTCTGCAACTGCAAAAATCAAATTTTCGCTGACCAAAGTCCACTCTCCCGCAAGCATTTTGTATCGCTGAAGACACTATTTAGCGACTTCTAGAAGATGAAAACGATCGTCCGCGACATCGCATTCGGATCGGGGAAGTGACTCCCGTCGGGAAAAAATGTGCACCGAATTCTTACGTTCCCCAACACTGAAAATATAAAATAATGTTTAACGGCCGCTGCTCCCGAGTACTGAACTTGGGTATATACGTTTAAAAATC